AATGCAGTATTTAGAGTTTCTGAAGCCTCCCTACCTTGACATCTGGAACGAGCTGCAGGATGCTATTGTTTGCACGTACTCCAGATAAACTCTTCCAACTTGTTTCATTGATACCATTTAAGAACAAGGGGTTGAGAATGTCAACATTCTACAAATCAAATTCATTAAAATGCGTTAACTTTGTATCGGTGCGCAATCACACATCCAAAATTAAAGAAGCATCAGTTATCTCCGGTGCAGAGTCTTTTAAATAAATGGTTGTGGGGTTGACTTGCCATTAGTGGGATGTTCAACCATATGAAAGAAAACAAGTAAAGACATAACACAGAAAGTCAAAAGATGCAGAAGAAACCATAAATCACTCCAGCTAACCTCAGGAACAGTTGTTACTTAAGTCGAGCATAAGTCAAGTTGATGGAAATTCCATCAAATTTAAATCTCATTAAAGGAACCTTTGCGTCCTTAACCGACACTTCTATGCTTTTTTCAAGCATATTGCGTAGAACTATAAAAAAATCCTCCTGTGCAACATAAAACACAGACTTCACCAATGGTCGCACTTGCAAGATTTCTTTCTGATTGCATACCAATTGAAAAACCAGTAAATAATTCCAAAAAAAAAAATGAACTAGCAGTCAATCATCAGCTAGGTGCTGTCAACTCCTTTGAGAGCCACACCTAACCCAAAAGGCCTAATGTTTGCTAGGGCCTTGTAGAGGCCGCATGGACCAGTTGAGCCAAAGGTGCTGGATAACACAGCTTAAGAAAATGAAGTAGCAGATAAAATGACTTACTGTCAAAGAGGCAAGCCAAGGGCCAACACACAGAGCATCAATATCGGACTCCGCATTATGCACCTAAACAAAATTTGAAAACAAATTACAAACCAAGAAGATCTTGCTCCATGGAGAAATAAATAAATGAAACAGAAACTCACACCAAGACCATACGATCCATATGTTAATATAGTTGCTGAGGCGGCTCTAATCTGATTTTGCGGCAGCCAACGTCGGTAAGCAACTCTCKTAATCCACTTGATMACTATCTGCATGAAAGAAACATGAAGGTTTTGTACATTACACATGTATGAAATTTCACAAGAAGATATATCCTACCCAAAATGAAATGTGGTACGTAGTATACCAGATTAAAACCACAAGTTTGCCGATGWGAAAACCGTACATAGGTTATATTCATCACTCTTCCCTTCCCTTCCCTTTGTTTTTCCTTTCTTTTGGAGATCATGGTATCGGGCACCTWTCGGCCCRTCTAGTCCTGGTTCATGCAAAKTGCCCCTCCACAYGAACCTGGGAAATTYTRGGCMTTCCAGCCAACGGGCCCGACCACAAAAAGACTCGTAGTATCTAGCAACCAAACCTATGACCTCATGCCAGATTTGACATCCCACGAGATTAATGACTNGAAAAAAGATAGGAGGGGTTCTAAGCATTAGAAGGTGTCACCTCATTACCTTTGGTTTCTTCTTTAATATATATATAGATTTTTGAGGGTCATTTACCAAACACTTACATGGGTAAGCGTTTATTAAGTCACATTATCTCACCGGATGAATATGGTAAGGACTAAGAATCTTACCCGGTAAGAACGAGACAAAGACCAGGAGTCTTACCCGGTAAGTGAGGGCGATGACTCTTACCACGGTAAGCGTTTACCGGGTGAATTGTTGCATAATATGTCGTTTTGATGGATTAAAATCTTATCCGGTAAGAATGAGATAAGGACTATGAGTCTTACCCGGTAACTGAGGGCGATGACTCTTACCACGGTAAGCGTTTACCGGGTGAATTGTTGCATAATATGTCGTTTTGATGAATTAAAATCTTACCCGGTAAGTATATAATAGTATTAAATTTTACTGGTTAGCACTTAACGGGTAAGTGTTTGGTAAACAGCCCCTACGTTTATTAAACGCTTACCTGTTAAGTACTTACTGAGCAATTTTCCTCACCGAATGAACTTGACAAGAGCAAGAATCTTACCCGGTAAGAGCAATGATAAGGATGAAGAGTCTTACCCGGTAAGTGAGGGTGACGACTCTTACCCGGGTAAGCGTTTACCAGGTAAATTGTTGCATAAATACGTTTTAATGTACTACAATTTTACCCGGTAAAATAAATTATATTGTTGACTTCTAATGGTAAGCGCTTACCTGGTAAGCATTTACGTAACCATGGTAAACGCTTACTGAGTAAATTGTTGCATACACTAACGTTTTGGTGGACTAAAGTCTTACCCGATAAGTAAGTGGTAGTGTTAAATTTTACCGGTAAACGCTTACCAGGTTAATGTTTGGTAAACGACCTCGATGCATTGAAAATACCTTGCTCTTGCCTTTGTAAAGTCTAACAAAGTAAATAAGTGACTTCCATTATTTCTTTCTCGAGATACAAGACAAAAATGAACTCAAATGTCGTAATAGTCTCGTATGTATATGCTTTGATCGAACCAATACATCCCTCAACAGTTGTAAGTAAAACCTCACATATTGGACTAAACATCTTAACGAGGTGTGCTTGGAGACAGTAAGTCATTTTATCTGCTACTTCATTTTCTTAAGCTGTGTTATCCAGCACCTTTGGCTCAACTGGTCCATGCGGCCTCTACAAGGCCCTACCAAACATTAGGCCTTTTGGGTCAGGTGTGGCTCTCAAAGGAGTCGACCGCACCTAGCTGATGATTGACTGCTAGTTCATTTTTTAATTATATAAAGTGTCTTTTGCAGTTATTTGGGTTATATGGAGGTATCCATTTAGCTGTTTTAGCAGCCTTTATTTGTCAAAGGAATTCAGGTGTGAGCTTGGCCGGTCTTGTTTCAATCTTTTTTAAGACAATTGCTTTGTAACAAGGGATGAGCCGGTAATGCACGAGCATTAATGCCCATTCAGCTTCCTAGCAGCCCACATGAGTATTGGCATTCCAACATCACCACTAGCACTTTCATGAAGATCAAAAACGAGTTTTGAAGAGTTATCGTCATATTCAGGTATATATATATATATAGGCATTGTTTGGTTTATTATTGGAGCGATTAATCTTTTGGTACCATCCTACTTGGCCTTTTGTAGAAAACATGCTTCTGTTCTTGTTTTAAAATGCAAAAAAAAAACGTTAAAACTATAAGAATGAGTGATTTTGAACAAAAATTACGCGGTATGATGGGTATATGTATGTACCCTAGTATGAAAAGATGCAAAACTGTTGCTATTTTTAATGAGTTTGATTCAAGAAGATCTGTTGCTATTTTTACAAGTTTCCGATGTCTTCTAGTAAAGGGAAAACCTGTTCTATTTTCATTGGAACAATTCCAAAACTCGGGAACTTAAGATACACATTGTAAGTGTACTAAACCGAAGCAATTGAGCTCGGGATTGGCACGTAATAGCTTGCGTAAGCTCAAGTCTTGGCTCTGCTTGTATATAGGCTTGGATTTATGGGCTCAAGTCTTGGTTCTGCAGCCTCTACTTGTATAAACTTTGTACATCTGGCTCATTTAGGATTTCAAAGTTGAGCTATTTTAGACTAGAGGATGGTTTGCCAGGCTTCCAGCTAGTCGGGTCATGCTCAATTCTCCGCAAAATCCTTGTATGTTATTTTTTTTCCAAGTTAGAAGCTTCTTGTTCTATTTTCCATTTTCCCCATTCCCTATTCTCCATTTTGCAGGATCGATATTTATTTCCCCGTAAATACCAATCTCATAATGAATAAATATTAATTGGCTAAAAAGGATTAGGAGTTAAATTGCATAAAGTATTAAAACCATGATGCACCTGTTGTTTGCTTTGGCTTTGTACATCCTGCTTATGTTGTTGAATTTGTTGTTGCAGCCGGAGGAGTTGTTTGTTTTTTTATGACCCCAACCCTATTGAATACTTGGATACAACCATACAAGACCCAAACATCGTTTTTTACTGAGGATTGTTACGTGGTAGGAGCAACTACAGATCCACTACAAAAAGAGTTCAAGAGGAATCTAGTTACGGGTTACAGAGGTCTAATGGGAAAAATGACTCTATCCATTATTCAAGCATCCGAGTTACCAAAAGCTTGCACCATATTGCTGATACCCACCAGTTATTTTCAAACTCGAGCAAACGGTACGGTGTCCCAAATCCCACACCTCATTATTTCCTCAGGTATCTTGCTCCTGAGTATCCGAGTAGTGGGATAATGGGTTAAAGACACGATCCTGTGTTGGTTCAAGATTTGGCTGTGCATAGAAAGAAAATACTCAAATTTTCAGGCTTTCTTTTTGTTGTTTATATAGATTACAGAGGGAGGAAGGGTTCACACATTTGTTATAGAGAGAAGGATAATCATTTTTTTTGGCGGACGTCCTTCAAATGCCCATGATATGATATTGCTTTACTTGTATATTCATTTTTCTTCTTACTGTTGCAAATTATTTTTGTGTATAACGTGAAGGGAGTAGAATATGTGTCTGCAAGCTATTAAAAGAGTGAAATGCTTATTTTGGTTGGTAAACTTATTCAAATTGCAGTTAAAGATGAAAAAAGAAACAATTTCATTTGAAGATCTTTTGGTAAAATAGATGATAAGTTGGGGCATAAGTGAGATTTGATAAATATGTCATATTATGAGCATCAACCTATCATGTGAAAATGTATAATCTCAACCTCTTTGATCCAATCCTTTTAAATTGGTTGTTACATGTTGATGCGGTTTTATACCATCGTAAAAGTTGAAGTTACAAATTTATTATATTCAAATAACCAACAAGATTTGGATGCAGGAAAACCATCAATATTTCAAATAACATGGTGATATGCATGTGCCGTACTACTTATCCCAACTTATACGAACATTCAAATAACTTTCATATAATATGAGTAATCACTAGTACCAAGTTTTTTGTATACCCTCTGTATTATGATTTAGTAAAACTGAAAATAAAATAACTAATTATTTAAAAATCAAAATATTGATTAAACTTTAATTAAAAAAATAAGTTAGTACGACATAGTATTATCATGATATACAATTTTCTAATACCACGTACCAACCAAGTTTAAATATTTGGTATGCTACTATCAACCAATTAAAGTGAAACCGACTAAATTGATGCAGTTGATACGTGAATTAATTGGTTTGTCTTGGTACAAAATTATACATTATTTGGGTGGTATTAATGGAGAAATAAAAAAAATGAACGATATGGAATGGGGACACATTAATGACGTAAACGAGTGTTTAATTATACAATACATAAAGCATAGTGACTAAAATTCTTAGATTCTTTAAGAATTTCTTTAAAATGGATAAAGTAAGATACAAGGTTTAAATTTCTCTAAATTTAAAGATTTCTGTTAAAACAAGCATTTATCTCGTTCAATAACTTGCAGAAACATGTTCTACTCTTCTCACGTTATATACAAAAATAACTTGTAACAGTAAGAAGAAAAATGAATATACAAGTAAAGCAATATCATATCATGGACATTTGAAGGATGTCCGCCAAAAAAATTGATTATCCTTCTTCTCTAACAAATGTGCGAACCCTTCCTCCCCTGTATTCTATCCAAACAACAAAAAGAAAGCCAGAAAATTTAGGCATTCCCTTTCTATGCACAACCAAATCTTGAACCAACCCAGGATCCCTCTCTTTAACCCATTATCCCACTACTCGGGTACTCCGATGCAAGATACCCGACAAAACAATGAGGTGTGGGATTTGAGAACACGGGTACCATTTCACTCGAGTTTGAAAATAACTGGTGGGTATCAGCAAGCTGGTGCAAGCTTTTGGGTAACTCAGATGCTTGAATAATGGACAGACTCATTTTTCCCATTAGACCCTTGTAACCCGTAACGAGATTCCTTTTGAACTCTTTTTGTACTAGATCTAGATCCAAGTAGTTGCTCCTGCAAGGTAACAATCCCCAGTAAAAAACGACGTTTGGGTCTTGTATGGTTGTATCCAAGTATTCAGTAGGGTTGGGGTCATAGAAAACACGCAACTCCTCCAGCTGCAACAACGGATTCAACAACATAAGCAGGGATGTATAGAGCCAAGGCAAACAACAGGTGCATCATGGTTTTAATACTTTATGCAATTTAACTCGTAATCCTTTTTAGCCAATTAATATTTATTCATTATGAGATTGGTATTTATGGGAAAATAGATATCGATCCTGGAAAATGGAGAATAGGGAATGGGAAAAATGGCAAGTGGAACAAGAAGCTTCTAACTTAGAAAAAAAATAACATACTAGGATTTTGCAAAGAATTGAGCATGAGTCGGCTAGCTGCGAAGCCTGTCAAACCATCCTCTAGTCTAAAATAGCTCAGCTTTGAAATCCTAAATGGGCCAGACGAACAAAGTTTATACAAGTAGAGGCTGCATAGCCAAGACTTGAGCCCATAAAAACAAGACTATATACAAGTAGAGCCAAGACGTGAGCTTATGCAAGCCATTACGAGCCAAAACCGAGCTCAATTGCCTCGGTTAGTACACTTGCAATGTGTTAAGTTTCCGAGTTTTGGAATTGTTCCAATGAAAAATAGAACAGGTTTTACCTTTACTAGAAGACATCGAAACCGTGACTTCACCCAGCCTATCCAATCTCCTAGCTCATCTTGTTTAGAAGTTGAAAGGCTTATTTTTAAAAATTGTTGGTAACTCTTTGAGTAAGGGTAGGGTTCAAAGAGGTTTCCCCAATCAAATTGTGGCTTCACACATCCAAAATTAAAGAAGCATCAGTTATCTCCAGTGCAGCTGGCATTAAGTCTTTTAAATAAATGGTTGTGGGGTTGAGACTTGCCATTA